TTTCTTCTCTTAGCTGAGGTAGTCAAGAATTAGCTGTGCCTCCTCTTCATTTTTCTTTTAGCCAGGAACAAGGGAAGTAGGGCACAGCATGTCCAATGCATAGCTTTCAGAAGACTGAGAGACCAGGCATTAACATAAATTATGGTGGTAATGGAGTGAAATCCTCTGGCTAAAACTCAAAACTCAACCCATGAGTCCAAGCAAATATAAGTAAATTTTTAAAAAGTGGAGAAAATAAAGTCCTATGATGCCTAAAAGTTTCTTCCCATAAAACATTTATTAATTACTAAGTATAATGTACTTTTAAACTTTGCAATGAAGAAACCTGGGACATATCTTCTTACGATATGGTAAAAGTAAATATTATTATAGAACTCTACATCATGTGCTTTCTGATATACTGTAATGAAAAAAACCCATAAAGCCCAGGTACAGTGGCTCCTATCTGGAATTCCAGGTACTTGGGAGGCAGCATTGGGAGGATCATAGTTCAAGGCTAGCTGAGGCAAAAAGACTCCATTTCAACCAATTAGCAGCTGGGTATATCATCCCAGCTGGGATGAGGACAGCCCCAGGAAAAAAGGGAGACCCTACCTGAAAAAGAATCTAAAGCAAAAAAGGTTAGAGGTATATATGACTCAAATGTTTTAAAGTACATGCTAGATGAGTAAAGACAGGAAGAAGGGGAGAATGCAGTCATAAAATTCAATGCATATTCTACAAAATTGATGCATGTTTCATAAACTGCTTTGTTGATTAGCAATGCCTTTGTATATTACTTAAATTTTTAAAAAGTTCATGCTAGTAAGAATGCATGCTCAAACCCCAGTATTACTAAAAAAGAAAACAAAGCACACAGAACGAACTCATACTGTTCCAGATAACCATGTATACATAAATCATGAGAAAACATCAACCAAAGTGGCTCTAAGTCATGCAATGATCTGATTTCCAGACACCACTTACACTCATTTTAAGTCATTTTCTTCCAAGCTATTCCCTTTACTGCAACACTGTTTTAGCTTTCTGCCCAATATATTCCCAATCACAATACTGTTGAATCATTCCTCCAGGAAACCAACACTGTATTAGGTGATCTTGCATAACACTTCCACAGCACTCAACATGAGCGTGTGTATGTGTTGGTCGTGGAGCTTGAACTCATGGTCTGGGTCCCTGAGCTCTTTAACTAAAGGCTTGTGCTCTACCACTTTGAGCCACGGTGCCACTTCCCCAAACCATGTATTTACACTGTATTCAAACTACCTTCTCCAAGTAAACTGTAATTCTGTAGTTATATAAGCTGTCTTCTTACACTCCCCCACCTCCCCACTTTGTGTATACAGCCTGGCAAACAGCAGGATTTCAATAATGGTAGAAAGAAGAAGGAGAGAAAGGAGACCCAACTAATCTGATGTCCCTGACTTGGAATTCTATGCTTAATTCCTGAATGACTTTCACAACTGCAAGCTGTGATCACAGCGGGGATAAAAGCATAACATTATTAATATAAAATATATAAATACAACATATTATTCATATATCTCATATATAAATATATAATTAATATAAATTCACCCTTTATAAAAAATCATTTGTAGTCTGATGACTGCATATGAAGGCCATTATCAGTATTACTATAGATTCTTGATACTAAGTAAAATAATTATAACCATACTAATGAACAAAACAAAACTGTATCAAAAGATAAAGAATTATCACTAATCATTTTTTATATCTATTTTAAGAATTCTCAACTATGCACATATGCTTCCCAAAGCAGATGGTGGAAGATTAACAGTAACTACCCCTCTTTCCTCCCCCAACTAAATACACACCTTTTAGAGAAATCCATCATTCACTTAGCTGGAGGAAGAATTTCCAAGGTATAGCTACACTAAACAACCTAGTATTCAGCTACTGTTGCTGACAGGATCTGTACATTATGGTAGTAAAAGAAAACCCAGTGTCTTAAATTGGTCCAAAAAGCAGATCAAGAAAATTTGTATGAACAGGCATTATAAAACAATTGATAATAAAATAATTATTTTAACAAGGCTTAAAGTTACAAAGTTGCAGATGAGAGGGAAATGAGGGTTAAGGAAAGGATCCAAACTATTTCACTGAGACAGAGATTTTTTTAAGGAGAATCAGGAATTAAAAAATGAAAACCGGCTAGAAAATAGGATGCTGGTGGCTCGTAGCTATAATCCTAGCTACTCAGGAAGCTGAAATCTGAAGATTGAGGTTAAAAGCTAGCCCAGACAGACAAATTCAAGAGACTCTTAACTCCAATTAACCAGCAAAAAGCTGGAAGTGAAGGTGTGACTCAAGTGGTAGAGACAGTTATGAGTCAAAAAGCCAAAGGACTTCGTTAAATGGCAAAACAGTCAATACATAACCTAAAATTAAGATAAGTCAGGGAAGGGGTGGGTTGGATGGGGTAGGTGAGGATGTTGAAAGGGGTGATATTAATCAAGATGCACTGTATTCATAAACGATTGGTGAGTGACAACTCCTTTGTACAATTACTTAAAGATAATAAAATTATTATTTTTTTAAAGCCAAGGGAGCCAGGCACTGGTAGTGCATACCGATAATCCTAGTCAGGAGGCTGGGATCTGAGGATCACAGTTCAAAGCCAGCCTAGACAGGGAAGTTCACGAGACTCTCATATCCAATTAACCACCCAAAAATGGAAAATGGGGCTGTGACTCCAGGTGGGAGAGTGCTAACCTTGAGCAAAAAAGCTCACAAACAGTACCCATGTCCTCAGTTCAAGCCCCACAAACACAAAAAACAAAAACAGAAAACAGCCAAGGGAGAGCACAAGGCCTTGGAGTTCAAGCTACAGCTACGGTCCTGGCACCAAACAAACAAAAGAACTAGGCTAGAAGTGGAAGGGGGTAGAACAAAACAAAACAAAACAATCCAATGACGTGGTGAAGTGAAGTAAGAGTCTACAATTAGGAAAATGGGGATTAGACACATGTTCTGGGAACAATGAGTAAAATCACCTTGGTTGAGAGGTATCCGAGTAGTGACAGTTCTGAATGTGACTACAGGGACTGGAGATACTAAGTGGATGAGCACCCACCCACAGGTGGGTTCTATTACTAGTAGCAGAGAAAAAAAGTAGACTATACTCAAGGCCGAATGAGGTATAAATGATTCCCAAAGAAAGGTACAATGTGTGGTAGAGTAGAACTGTGGGAAGACTAACTAGGGCCCTAATTAGCAAGGGGCTGACCCTGTGAGATTCAAAGCAGAGAAACCAACTTAACTAACAAAAATGCTATAAAACTCTAAAATCTAGCTAGGCACTAGTAGCTCATGTCTGTAATCTCAGGGAGCTGAGATCTGAGGATCACTGCTGTAAGCCTGCCTATGCAGGAAAGTCTGTGAGGCTGTTATCTCAAATTACCAAAAAAACAGAAATGGAGCTGTGGTATGAGTCATATGGACTTTTCTGCCAAGTTGGTTTTGAATCTCGAACCTAAGATCTTAGCCTATTGAGTAGCTAGGATTACAAGCATGAGCCACCAGTGCCTGGCTTCCCTTGAGTTTTTATTACAAATAAAAACCTAACAAATAAAGCAAAATAAAATGCTTTTATGTTCCAGAAAAACATATATTAACACTAAAATGTCTACACAATATTTTGTAAGTAGTCTTTCAAATTGTAAAAAGTCGATACGTGTAAATTCCCTACCAATTAAGGAACTTGATGTTTACATTTCCAAGATGATTTTTTTTTTTTGCTTAGTACATTGGGTCCATTAAATATTAGGCTTTATAATCATGTAATATTCCTTAGAGTGGATGATATCTGGAACTTATCAACTGCTTATTTTGGTGCTAGTACTGGGGCTTGAATTCAGGGCCTTGTCTCACTTGAGTTTTTTGTTTTTGCTTAAAGCTGGTGCTCTACCCCTTGAGCCACAGCTCTATTTTGGGCTTTTTGCTGCTTAATTGGAGATAAAAGTCTCACAGACTTTTCTGTTTGGGCTGGTGGGCTAGCTTTGAACCATGGTCTTCACATCTCAGTGAGTTTGAGTAGCTAAGATTACAGGGGTATGAGTCAGTAATGCCTGGTGAACTGCTTAAGTTTTTTAAAAAAATATTGTTATTCTGCAGGTGATATACTGAGTGCTTATAGTTACAGAAGTCAGGTAATGAGTACATTTCTTCATGGATAATGTCACTCTTTCCTTTGTTCTCTCACAGCCAACCTCCTAATTTTTACAGATTGATTTTCATTACTAACAACAACAAAATATCTGGGAGTAGGCCAACTCGACCAAACTATCCAAAGTGGGTGCCAACTTTTAAAGGTTAACAGATGTGTGTGTGTGTGCTGTGGGGTGTAAGACGAACATACCTGCAGATCATAAACCCACCTTTTTTTGGGGGGGGAAGGGGGAGAGTCAGTCCTGGAGCTTGAACTCGAGGGACAGGGCATTGCTGTTGAGCTTCCTCCCGACCCCTCAAGACTAGCGCTCCAACACTAGAGTCACACTTCCACCTCCGCCTTTTTTTTTTTTGGTGGTATTAAGAGTCAAAGAGTCTCACGACTTTCCTAGCCCGGCTGGCTCTGAACCCCACTCTTCAGATCTCAGTGCCCTGAGTAGCTAGGATGACAGGCTTGAGCCCTGGGGGCTCGGGGTACAAACCCACTTCTCTAACCAGGTGGGAAGCAGCGCTTGCAGCAGCCAGAGATGCTTAAAAAAAAAAAAAAAAGACACAGCACAACTCAACTCACAGGGGTGCATCCTCCCCCCCCGCCCCCCGGCCCAGGCCTGACCCCCGGCCCAGCCTCAGATGCCCAGGGTGTGACGCCGGAAGGGGAGGGAGGAGCCCGAGGTCCGCAGGGGGAAAGCCCCGCCCCCCAGCGGGCCAGCGCCGGGGCCCGAGGGGAGGGAGGGCGGGACCCCTCCCGCCAGGGGCGTCGAAGGAGGGCGGAGCCTGGGTGGGCCGGCGGGGAGCGCCGAGCCCCCTACCTGTGCCAACGCCGACAGGCTGCCCTCGCGCGCCGCCACGCTCGCGCGGCCGTGATGCCAGGCTGCTCCGGCCCCTGCCAGGGCCATTCCAGCCACAGCCGCTGCCAAAGTGCCCCGGTTCGGCACGCCGCGTCGACCCGCCGCGAGCCCGCGCCGCAGCCTGTGGCCCCAGGCCACGAGCCAAGGGGCCTGCCTCGCAGCCGCCGCCATGTTTGCGGAAGTGCTGTGGCGCCGCGCCCCGCCCTCTACCACTCAGGATGTGGGCACGCCCTCTGCGGCCCAGCTCTCGCGAGATGTGGGCGTGCGTGCGGGCCGGGCTGCCTAGGCGAGGCTCTCGCTGGTGAAAAGGGCCAGCTATGGCAGTGAGAGTAAAGTCCTTCACGTGTCAGATCGCACGATCTTCCCTTATTTAAGGAAGGCCAGAGAGGGGTCCTACAGGGTAAGAAGCTCTGCAGTGTTGGACTACAGGTGCATAAGAGATGATCCAAGGAGCTCCCATTAAGTAGACCAATTAGTAGTTGACTTTTGTGTATTTGTTTTGAGTCTTGGCACCTTTGATCGACTTATGGGAAAGTATGTCATTTCATGGTCAAAGCAGGAACCTGGTGCTTGATGGGTAGTGTGGGAACTGGGAGGGAGAGCCACTTTTGACAGGCAGAGTGTTAATTCCAATCAAGGATGAGAACCATCCTGGTATGGAATCCCAAGCATTGAAGTGGGGGGGAGGGGGAGGGTAGGACTGGAAAATTCTATGTTTTCCACAATTCTGTGTTTGCCCTAATTTCCACAAACATGTCTAGATTAAGACTTTAACAAGATAACACATGCCTCTTTATCTATATCATGCTATTCAGAAGTTTATGTAAATAATCTCTGGGTGGTTTTTCACCAACCATTTTATTTATTTATTTATTGGTCCGGTCGTGGGGCCTGAACTCAGGGCCTGAGCACTGTCCCTCAGCTCTTCAGCTCAAGGCTAGTGCTCTACCACTTGAGCCACAGCGCCAATTCCGGCTTCTTTCTTTTTGCTTATGTGGTGCTGAAGAATCGAACCCAGGGCCTCTGGCATGCAAGGCAAGCGCTCTACCACTGAGCCACCTTCCCAGCCCAGGACCAACCATTTTAAATAACAATCAGGTTGCCTTGCCGATGTTAATGTTAAACTATCATTAAAGAAAGGGTGCCAGGCACAAGTGGCTCACACCTATAATCCTAGCTACTCAGGAGGATGAGATCTGAGGATCTCCATTCAAAGCCAGCCCCAGCAGACAAATATGAGAGACTTCATTAACTAGAAAAAAGCTGAAATTAGAGGCATGCCTTAAATGATACAGCTCTAGCTGGAAGTGGAAAAGCTAAGCCAGAAGTCAAGCCCCAGTACTAACAAAGAAAAAGTTTGTATATTCTATAGCTGAAACTTTAAAATAAATTTATTTATACATGAACTGGGTACTGGGGCTTGAACTCATGACCTGGGTCTTAGCTTTTTCACTTAAGGCTTGGCACGATACCACCTGGGCCACAGCTCCACTTCCAGCTTGTTGCTGTTTAATATAGTTAGAGATAAGAGTCTTCCAGACTTCCCTCCTAGGCTACCTCAGAACCATGATCCTCAGATCTTAGCATCTTTAGTAGCTAGGATACAGGAATAAGCCACCAGCACCTTGTTTTAAAATTTATTTTAATTAACACTGCCATTTTAACAGAGCAGTGGCATTAGGTCAATTGGCATTGTTATACAAGCTCATCAACATTCACCTCCAGAATTTTTTCCCTTTTGGAAAACTGGCAAACATTTTTTAAAAAAGTGTCCCTTTTCCATATATCTTGTTTGTTCTTTCCTATGCTTCCGGTCTTCCCTGTTCTTTTACTTCTGCTAAATCATATCCAATCTCAGCCTTCTGACTAATTTTCTTATGAACTTTCAGACAAAGCCACTTGATTCCAGGCGGTTACTATTTGCTGAATGTTTAAATTCTGTTCCAGCAAAGTATTTGGTGGTTGTTATTACCTCACCTGGGATTAAGAGCTGATGTCAGATGCAACAGTGTACCCACTCGTGTCCCTACTACTGGGGAAATATGTTTTCCCCTATTGCAGGTATGACACATCAGTCCTGGAAGTTGTTTGGATAATATAAATAGTTTAGCTGACACAGACAACTTGGCTTCATTTTGTGGTCTCTGATCTTCCATTCTTTGCTCATCACTTTTCCGGAGTAAATTTAATTAACTTTTTGCTCAGTCAGCATCTGATATGTCCCTAGCTACCTGAAGCTTTTAATTGGGCCTGCAGTAATTTGGAGCCCAAGTTGAAGGTGCCAAGACACCTGACTGTATAATCCATCACCATCTTAGAGGTTTGCAAATAAACAACAATAACAACAACAAAAAAGCTTTCAGGTAGAATCTAATTTGACCCCTTAATGGAAGTTTTATGAATAAATTAGTTATCCACACTTCGTATGTGCCTCTTTCTTTTTAGCTGGCTTGACTTTAACTTCTTCACTTTTTCCTAGTGGCTGAAATCACTTCTAGTGTGTCTTTCTAGGAAAGAAACCAAGAGCTTTGTCTCAATGTATACATTTTAAAGCTATCTCAAACCAGGATGATCACTGTAATTGGGGGCATTGTTGTTTGTCTGTCTCTGTGCTGGTAATGGGTCTTAAACTTAAAGCCTTGGCACTGTCCCTCAGCTTTTTCACTCAAGGCTAGCACTCTACCACCTGAGTGCCTCACTCCAAGCTTTTTGGTGGTTAATTGGAAATAAGGTCTCATGGACTTTTCTGCTCAGGTTGGCTTCAAACCTCAATCCTCAGATCTCAGCTTCCTGATTAGCAAGGGTGAGCCACTGGCACCTAGGAATTTTAATCTGAGTGTTAATTTCTCATCTGTTAAGAACTCTCACAGTTTATGGAGGGGAGTTTAAATGAAAGAATTTATATGAAGTAACTAACCAAATACTTGGCACTTGGTGGCCTCACAACAGATGTGAATTCATCTTCTCAAGATTTGGCTTATTCTTGTTATGTGATCACAAATGAGCTTGTTGGAAATGTCTGCCAAATCCAGATCACTAGCCTGTGGTAACGTGAGACTTCTTACTTTCTCAGTATCTTGTCTGACCATATGAACTGCTGGTCTGTTTTCGCATATGCTAACTTTGGCAGTTCTTGGTATGTGTCCTGCTTTCCTAGATTGTGAAGATCTATTTTGTTTCTGTCCCCTGATGATTATAGGATTTTTAGGGTGTGTTTGAACATCCTAGATGTCTTATCTTACAGTCCAAAATAGGTGCTACTCCAATTAGATCACTTGGCACTTTTAAAAACAGTCTAGTTCTTGAGTGGAGGGCAACTGTAGCTTTTTACTCCTCAGACCTAGCAAGTACAGTGCCTAGAATATGTCAGAATATATTAGTCATTTAATAGATACATATTTGAAGCAGTGAATAAGTATGTGGCACAAGGGCCATTGTAGAGTATCTAGTCCCAAATTAGGTAATCAAGGATACAGAAATATATCACACCTTTGGTATAGCTTGTTTTTCAAGACAAATCGTTATTTTACTTTGATTAGGATAGGTTAGTTATACAAGGAGGGGTTTCATTGTGACATTTCCACACCTGTATGCAATGTATTCTAATCAATCTCACTCCCCCATCATTTCCCCCTTCTTTGCCTTTCCCAATTTCAAGATGCTTTATGGTGCTATTTTCATACATGCAAACTATATACTTCAATCATATCCACCATCAGTCATGCTCTTTGTCACTTTCCTGCTATTACCTACCAGGCCTATAGAACCCATTTCTCTTTCCCCACTCCCTAACCCCCATTGATCAACAGGACAAAGCTTGATTTTATTTTTATTAATTTGTTTATGTTTGGCTTGAATGCAGGGCCTGGGCACTATCCCTTAGATTTTTCACCCAAGGCCGGCCCTCTACCACTTGAGCCATATCTCCCCTTTTGGCTCCCCTTTTGATAAGAGTCTCACAAACTTTCTTGCCTTGGCTGGCTTTGAACCTCAATCCTCAGATTTCAGCCTCCTGAATAGCTAAGATTATAGCTGTGATCCACCAGTGCCCAGCTAAAGCTTTATTTTAAATGAGTGTCTTTTGCTGAAAACCTTTGAATTTCCTTAGAACATTATACTTAGTAATTAGTTTTATTTGTTTTATGTTATGTGCCTGATTCTCTAGAGCTCTCACTTAAGATTTAATGTATACAAACTTTTCTTTTGCAGAGGAAAAACTCTTATAATAGAATAAAACTCTAGCCATCTGAGGTATGAATCTGCCCTGGCAGCTGCTGACATTTTCTAAGCACATTGACTATACTGGTCTTTTTGGGGCTCTAGCTTTGTGCATTTCTTCATCACCAGCTGTAGAGAAAGCCCAAGCTTGGGTGTATTTTCATCTTTGCAGTGTATATATAAACCAATTCCCAAATAAGAAGCAGCTGCTTCTCCAGCTAACACCTAGTCTGTTTTAAATGGCAATTGGGTAGAAGCAGAATGGAAACATGAACAGTTCCAAAATAGGGTGGCTTAATTCATTTAGCCTGTGCTTTTTTTCCTCAAGCAGAGGGGCAGAAGTGATACAGACAAATAAGTAAATAAATAAAAAAGTTACCCACAAGGATTTTTATTGTCACTGAAAAAGCTAGGCCCAAATTTCAAAACAATTCCTGATTTTATCTAATATTGAGCTACACAGAAGAGAAAGTACATGGTTGGGGCAGAAGGGAAAGATGGAAGGGAAGAGAGGAAACTGGGTGTGGGTCTTGGTAGAGTCTGAGGGAGGCCTTCCAAGGTGGGAGAAGAGGTAGGACTAAGGGGCAGGGGAAGAGTGGATGCAATGAGTATTTACAAGGCTTGGAGCAGAAGACTGGCCTGGAGTGGCTTGGTGGCCAAAAGGGGACTGTGTAATGATTTCTGAAGTATATATCATCATATGCTTTTTTTAATGGGGGGGATCAATTATGAGACTTGAACTCACACTTAGGCTCTGCCCCTGAGCTCTTTTGCTCAAGGCTAGTGCCCTACCACCAAGTCACAGCACCACTTCCAGTTTTTGAGGGATTAATTGGAGATAAGAGTCTCATGGGGACTTTTCTGCCTGAGCTGGCTTCAAACCATGATCCTCAGATCATAGCCTTCTGATCATAGCTAGGATTACAGGCATGAGCCACTGATGCTTAGCCATC